TTAACACGCGAATCGGAACGGTCTTTGAGATTTATGGTCGATCACGTAACCAAGAACTTACGCGCCTTGTCTAGCCTAGCACAACCCACTGATAAATGGGGCGTGCTTATAATATTCATGTTAGCGTCTAAGCATTATTAAAATGGGAGGAATATCGCAATACATTAACGAGTGATGTACCGTCACTGGAACAATTTTATAAATTTCTGATTGATCGTGCCGATGTACTAGAGTCAATGAGTCGTAACAATAGGACCGATACAAATAACATTTCAAAAAGCCGTTCTGGCAATATTCGTCATACAGCTAATAACTCAAGCTCAAAAGTTTAATCAAAACAATAATACCATAAAGACTTTTGCAAGCACAAGCGATAATTACAGTAAAAAGTCAAACATATTTACATGCATTATTTGTAACGAGTATCATATTATAATCTACGATTGCCCCACATTTAGGGCTAAGGGGATTGACGAGCAAATGATGGACGTAACGAAGTATAAATTGTGTGTCAATTGCCTAAGGCAGGGTTACCCTGAACCTTCGTGTTGTCATCTACTATGGGACTACTGTTCTTTATCCCATGTAGCTTTCGGGCCTCGGGGAATTCCCCATAACCCGGGTAATCCTCACAGCCCATATCTATGGGCCGGTCTTGGGAGCCGTACATGTACGACATTGTCGGTAATCTTCGGTGGCGTATTGCGCGCCACCAGGTCGGTGCTACCGGAGGGTCGGCCGTCTTAAAGCCCCGCGGAGTCCCGAGGTAAGGAGTCGACGCAGGGCCAATCTTGCCGACAGGAGTGCGCTCCGGACAGCAGCTGCTCCGGGTCTCCAGTGCTCCTTCATGGCTCTAGATGATGGCCTGGTATCCCTAGGCATAAGTTGGCGTATCTCGCGCCTCTGGGAAGGGATCTGCTGAAGGGTCAGCAACCTCCAGGTCGCGGAGACGCATCTCGACGCGGAGCCGAAGTCACCAACAGGCGCGCGCTCCCAGCAGCGCGCCGGGCCTTCGGAGTTCGTGTTAGATGAAACGCAGCGTTAGGTGCTCAGCATCCCGGGTGGGGTCAGGAGCGTCCTCGAGGCTCTACGCAAGCCGAGTTGGCCCCACAACACGTGCACCCACTGCGAAGCCACGCGCTGTACTTCTCCCACCCGGCGGACGAGACCCCCGCTAGCGCGATCCGGACGAGACTCGATAGTCACCCTGAAAGCGAGTGCAGCATGGGGCCTTGTCGCGAGCGCGACTGCAAACAGCGCCACAACAGTCTGCTCCACCGTCCGTCTTCCTCTTCAAACCACCTCACCCTCGCGGATGAACAAGATGAGATTATCATTAATTACTCTAATCAAAATACAAATCAGGTGTTATTATCTATTGCGATGATTGAAGTAGACCAAGTTATCTTTACCGAGCCGTCAAATTGACACACTAATGGTCATTGGCATCGGTAACAATTCATCTCATCATGGAATTGAAAGTTGTAATATTCAAATTAAATCAATAAATAGCAAGTTTAATGCAATGTTATCATGCTTTGTGTTAAAAGGACTCACCAGTCACATAACAAAAATGCCGGTTGATATTAGCTCATTAAAACTACCCTCAAATATCAAGTTGGCTGATCCTATGTTTCATCAGCCAGCCCCCGTAGATGTATTGATAGGTGCTGATCTCTTCTGGGACATTCTAGGCAATGAGCAATAGTCCCTAGGACCCAATTGTCCTTAGTTAAGGAGTTCACATCTTGGTTGGATATTATCTGGCCCCATAAATTCAACAGTATCTAGCAAAAAGATACATTGTAATCACGCAATTATCACTGAATCACAAAATGAAAATATTGAACAATTAATATCCAAGTTCTGGGTATTGGAAGAAGTTCCCACTAAATGTAGCACGAATGAGCCTGAAAATGAATATGAAAGTCACTTTCTTGCTCACACTATACGAGATAAGGAAGGTAGATTTTGGGTAAAACTGCCTTTGGAAAAATCGGTTCAGTGTTTGGGTGACAGTTACAATTTAGCCAAAAAACAATTTATTAATAATTATAAGAAAAACGGTTTAAACGCAACCCAGCTCTCAAATCGGAATACGTTAAATTTATAGACGAGTATTCTGACTTAGGACATCTTTCAATAAACAATTACAATAATGAACCGAACCCTAACCCATCTTACCATTTGTGTCATCATGCAGTCATACGGCAGGAAAGCGAGTCCACCAAGCTTCGTGTGGTTTTTAACGGCTCTGTCCCCACCACTACAGTCTATTCTCTGAATGACATATTAATGATCGGCTCAAATGTTCAAGATACCCTCTTTTCTATCTTGATACGTGCTAGACAATATTAGTACCTACTTACAGGCGACATTGAAAAAATACTAGGAACTTACAGCTAATCTTATGGAGGGAGAATGAGTCACAATCCATTGAGACTTTGGCTTTGAACTCGGTAACCCATGGCACTGCAAGTGCAAGCTACCTCAGCACACGTTGTTTATGGCAGTTAGGGCAAGAACAAACGACGAACTCATAAAAGACATTATACAAAGAGACTTCTATGTCGATGATTAAATCACAGGAGCAGATGACCCTCAACAATTAATTTATATACAGAAGTCGGTGTCAAATGCGTTAAAATCAGGTTGTTGCAATCTGCGTAAATATAAAAGCAATTGTCCCTCTATTTTCGATGGTATCGATATTGACAAGCACGATAAGTTAACAATCAGTGAGTCATCTAGTACTCTTGGTCTGGGGTGGATTCCTTCTACCGACACTTTGCATTTTCCTACAAAGCTAACGCAAGAACCAGATGTGCCTATAACAAAAAGATGAAGCATGTCAAATTCTTTTAAAGTATTTGATCCTTTAGGTGTTCTGAGCCCACTAATAGTGTTGCCAAAGATCATGCTTCAAAGCTGCGGCAGCAAAAATGCATCACCATCTGCATATGGCGCCTGCATATTTGTAAAATCAATTAGTGCAAATAATGATGTCGCTGTCAGGCTATTGTGTGCGAAGTCCAAAGTAGCACCACTAAAACCTACCAGCACTCCGCGTCTTGAATTGTGTGCCGCTTTGCTATCCGCCAAACTCACCAAATCTGTACTAGACTCTCTTAGGTACAAACCAACGAAAATAGTGCACTGGTGTGATTCAACTGTGGTCCTGAGTTGGATCGAAGGTGATATCAAAAGGTTCAAAACATTTGCGGCCAATCGTGTATGTGAAATCGTGGATCTTAGCTCACCGTTATCTTGGAGGTATGTTCCAACAGAATCCGGCGAATTTCATTTCGAGAGGAGTAGATGCAAAAAAAATTATGTCTTTGTCCCTTTGGTGGTCAGGTCCTGACTTTTTACTCAAAAATGATGACGAATGGCCAGTATTAAAAATTAAAGAGTCCGAGCCTTTACCAGAGTTGAAGGTGCATGCTGCGACAATGAGTGAACCTGTTATAGATTTTGAAAAATACTCATCGTCGAATCGATTGCAGCGACTATTCGCATACGTTCTTAGATTTATATTTAATACTAAAAATCCGAACCAAAAACGTACTGGAATTTCAACAGTTAACGAATTGCAAGAGTCATGGTTTTCGCTTTGTATTAATGCACAAACTCAATCATTTCCGGCTGAATACGATTTACTCGTAAAAAACAAACCTTTAAGTAGTGAAAGCAAAATAATTGGGCTTTCTCCATTTCTTGATAACAATTTGGTTCGTGTTGGGGGACGCGTAGGTGCGGCAGATAATTACTCATATGACCAGAAGCATCCCAATTTACTACATGCCGCACATTGATTGACAAAACTATATTTCAAAAGGGAGCACATAACACATATGCATGCAGGTCCACTACTGTTGTTATCAACGATAAAACAAACAGTGTGGCCACTGAATGGACGACATCTGGCGTGGCGCACAGTTAATAATTGTGTTCGATGTAGACGTATGCGCGGGAAAACCTTACAGCCTAAAATTGGCAATTTGCAGCCCCAACGCGTCACGCCAGGCTATCCCTTTTTGTCAGTGGGCCTCGACTTTGCTGGGCCGCTCTCGATCATAAATCGTAAAAGCCGTGGGAGTCGAGTAATTAAATGTTATCTGTGTTTGTTTGTCTGTCTTCGTTATAAATGCATCCACCTTGAAGCAGTAAGCGATTTAACTAAGGATGCATTTATAATGTCACTCAGACGTTGTGACAACGGGACCAATTTTGTAGCCGCTTCACGGGAATTAGGCACATTTATAAAACAAATCAAGCACCCCTATTTGAGTTTGCAAATCAAAAACTTATTAAATTTAAATTTACATTTAAATTACCGGCTTACACTTCTCATTTTGGCGGTATATGGGAAGCGGGTGTTAAATCTGCGAAACACCACATAAAGCGCGTCATTGGAAACAGCCATCTAACGTTCGAAGAAATTGGCACTTTGTTTGCCCAAGTGGAGGCTATTTTGAATAGCCGTCCTTTATGCCCTCTGTCCTCTTCTCCCAATGACCTCCGGGACACTTTCTTATTGGGAGACCATTAACAGCAGCGCCGGCACGGTATCTGGTTGAACCCAAAGAAAGTCATCTTCAACGCTACGAACGCCTAGAGAAAATGCAACAACATTTCTGACAACGGTGGCATCGTGACTATCTGTCGGAACTGCAGCAAAGGACAAAGTGGAAGAGTAGTGCAGTTCTCGTGGTTGCGCGAAAGCGTTCGGACGTTTCTTCTTGTTGGTAAAGTGTGTATGGCATTTGTTAACGGTTAAAAAAGGACAGAATAAGTGTAATACGGATCATAAGGAAGAGACAATAGTATAACAGGAGCTACGACATAAGTGCAAGCGCAGCTAATCCCCACCTACGCGCGTGCGGGGGGTTGACTCCGCCCACCAGATTAATCATTATTTTTGCTTAGAGCCAGCGAAAACATCTATTTAGGCCTAAATGGAGCGAACATTAATGCCGACGGAAGAGGAAAAGATCATAATGTACGGTTCTGATACTAATGTAAGTAAAATGAAAGATAAACATGTAATTTTATCTGAATGGGTTAACCCTAGAAAGAAACGTGTATATGAATCGGAGGACGAATTATCCACCGGACAGATATCCGCGGTACAAAAACCGGCCTGTTGCACGGAGAACATGCTAAGCTCACTAAAAGAAACGATGGATTCATTACGTGAGGAAATGAAGATCATGATGCATACTCTTAAAGAAATGAAAGACCAACAGGAAACACGTTTTGGGAATTTTGAAAAAGATATGTCAGATATAAAAATTACAATATGCCAGTTGCAGAAAACTAATGAAGTCGTTGACGACTCATTGGATTATCTCGGCAAAAAATGTTCAAAACTGGAGAACGCCATCGAGGAGGCGAACAACGTCATCAAAATACAGGAAAATAAAATAAAAGATCTTTCCCAAAAAAATGTTTACCTGGAAAAATATAATAAGGCTTTAGAGGAACGTGTCTGCATGTTGGAACAGAAGGGGCTGGACTGCAACATAGAACTGTTAAATGTCCAGGCACCAGAAGGAATGAGTACCATACAGATAGCCAGAGCGGTTGCAGATGAATTGAATTTATGTCCAGAAAAAATTACCAAGGCTTGGAGAGTGGGAAAGATAAAGGATGGGAAGGACTCGAGGCCAATAATTGTCACACTTCAAACACGTGAAGACCGAATCCAGTGGATAGGGTGCCGAAAAAATGCCATCACTAATAGCGCAATATTTAAAAACAATAACAATACGAGATTAATGAAAATATAACGCAGCATCTTCGACGTCTATTCTGGGAAGTTAAGACTGAATTAAAAGATTTGTATAAATATATTTGGATACAGAATGCCAGAATATTAATTAGAAAGAATGACACAGTAAAAAAAATCCATCAAATACGCACTCAGAGTGACATTGAGGCCTTTTTAGATAATAAGAAACAAGAGTAGATACGAATATATATATATATATATATATAATAAATAATATACATATTGATGTCTTCTAACTTTGATCCGCATCCACAGTACCAAGATATAGAATATACGAAATACACACAAATTAATGACTGGCAAAAACATATAAATAAAGATAAAAATGCACTACATATAATACATATAAACATATGTTCACTGAGGAAACGTTTTAACCAATTAATAGCACTCATAAAAAATTGCATAGCCAGCATAGACGTTATTTGTCTAACAGAAGTTAATGTAAAAAACGACGAGTTAAATTTATACAACATAGAAGGATATAACTTATACTCAAGGACTAGAGAAAATAAAAGAGGAGGTGGTATAGTGATTTATATCAAAGAAAATCTTTCTTTTCAAATACATAGTACAAGTAGTAGCCATTGTGAAATGATACACGGCATTCTGAAAGTACGAAACTACGATCTTGATATTATAGTGATATACAGACCGCCTCACACAAACAAACAACTGTTTGTAAAAGAACTGGAACGAGTAATTCAACGAGTGCCGATTAGTCGGGATATAATCATGTTCGGTGATTACAATATTGATATTTTGGAAGATAAATTGGACCATATCGCTTGTAGTTATCTTAATATGTTATCATCACGAGGATTACAGTGTGGAATTCAAGACATAACCCGCGAGGCAGTGAGTGCGGAGCGACGGACAGCCACTTGCATCGATCATGTGTTCGTTAGAACTGAGAGCGCGTCAGAGGTGCAAGCGTATTTACTTACGAGTCCATTAGCTGATCATTACCTAACGGGACTCACCGCTGTTATAGGTAAGCGTATGCCGCAAAATGTATGCAAAACAAGTTTGAATAACAAAGCGATTGAGAAGAAATTAAGTGAACAATATTGGAATGAGCTTTTAAATTATGATGACCCTATCAGTTTATATAGTAGAATCAAAACAATTTTTTGTAATATATATGACTCAGCGCAAATAAAAATACAGTTGAAAAAAAGGGAAAATCAACCCTGGGTTAGTAAGTCGTTATTAAATATGATTGAAATTAAAGACAGTTTGTTCAGAAAGTGGAAATCAAACCCTAGTAATAATAATTCTAGATTAGAGTATACTAGATACAGAAATAAAGTACAAAAGTTAATAAATAAAGCCAAAAACGATTATAAAAAGAAAGAAATAATTAATTGTAATGGGGATATGCGCAAAATTTGGGGAAAAATAAACCAGTGGCTCGGGAAAAATAAAACATCAGTTGATACCATTATTGAAAGATACATAAAAAATGAAAAATCTATGAAAACAATCTGTAATAAGTTTTGCGAAACGTTTACTGACGAAATTGATAATATTAAACACAAGTGTAACCAAACCTTTTTAAAAAGAAAAGAATACATAGACGAGTGTAACGTGAGCTTCCGATATAAAATGGTATCAGCTGATGATGTGATAAAAGTTATAGACAAACTAAGCTGCAACAAGTCATCGGGGTCAGATCGAATTAGAGTTCAGGATTTAAAATTTATTAAAAAAGTCATTAGTCCTATTATAGCGAATTTTATTAATATGTGTATTAAAAAAAGTGTTTACCCAGAAGAACTAAAAAAAGCAATAATCAGACCTGTCTATAAGCAGGGATCGCATCAAGAATACACAAACTATAGACCCATCGCCATACTTAATGTAATCAATAAAATTACCGAAAAAATTTTTGTCAAACAAATTTCAGAATTCTTAGAAAATAATGATGTTATTACAGATTTACAATATGGATTTAGGCCAAAAAGAAGCACAGACATGGCTTTAGCTAAATTTACAGACGACGTGAATAACGCTCTTAATGACCAAAACCTAGTAGGTGTTATTTTTATATTTAAAAAAGCTTTTGACACACTGACCCGATGGCTTGCTGCAGTCTATGGAAGAGTGCGGTATTCGAGGACCTACAAACTTATGGTTCCGCAACTATTTAAAGGACAGAACGTTAGAAGTCCGCATTAGCGAAACTAGTAGTGACCTTGGTAAAATCAAATATGGAGTCCCAACCGGCTCAGTATTCGGTCCAGTAGGGTACATCATTCATGTAAATGGAATGAGCAAAGTAGTACGATCATGTGAAATGTATATGTATGCTGATGACACTTGCCTAATGTACTCGTACAAAGATCCAAAGACGATACAAATTGTTATGCAAAAAGACTTAGACAACATTGTTAAATGGGCGCATGATAATGGTATTATAATTAATATAAGCAAAACTAAATTTATGTTAATATCTTCGCCATACAATCGACAAAAGCATGCCGACATTGTAATTAAAGGGCATACCTACGATTGTTTCCACAGAAATAACAATGTAAATAACTGTAAATGTCTGAAGTTAGAACAAGTCTCATGCTACAAATATCTAGGACTAACTATAGATACCAGTTTTGTATGGAGTATACATGTTCAGCAAATCTGTAACAAATTACGTAGTGTATTGGGTAAATTGTACCACCTGAAATTTAGGCTAAGCAGAAGTATGTTACATATGCTGTACTATGCGCTTGCGGATACAACTATAGATTACGGGTTGGGTAGCTATGGACTTACTTTCCCAGTGTATTTAAATAAAATCAAAGAACTACAAACAAGGTTGTTAAAGATACTAGTAGATAATAAAGTGAAAAGTGAGTGTAATAAAGAATATAATAAACTTTGAATAAAACTATTATTTACGGATTTTATCGCGTTTAATTACTTTAATTTATTTTTATTATTATCCCGACGTTTCGGGTGCTTTACAGCGCCCATGGTCACGGGGGGGGGGGACTGAGATGTTTGACGTCCCAATGTCATAGTTAGTCCGGCTACCTTCAGTTTTTTAATATTAATTTTTGGTCCGATTTACGCAAAACGAGCTTATAGTATCATGAAGTCTTGCAGTGGTATGCTTGGGTTTGGGTTTAATTTTGTTGATTATAGGATCCCAAGCAGATGGTAGCACCCAACCATCTTCTCTATTGAAATTTGGATGTTTTTTAATTTCAATAGCCTCGCGTATCATCCTTGGTAGGAATCGGTGTTCTTTTGCGAGAATTTGTGGTTTATCAAATCTAATGTAATGGTGGGGACGATCTTGAACATGTTCGCAGACTGCAGACTTCCCGGAGCGTCGGTGCTTCACATCAGCTATATGTTCCTTCACGCGGGTTTTTATAGATCTCTTTGTTTGACCTATGTCAAACTACATCTCAGTCCCCCCCGTGACCATGGGCGCTGTAAAGCACCCGAAACGTCGGGATAATAATAAAAATAAATTAAAGTAATTAAACGCGATAAAATCCGTAAATAATAGTTTTATTCAATGTGTAGTGTTCGCGTAAATTTAAGAAATCATAATATAATAAACTTTTCAAAATTTGTAAAATTGTACCTGTAGACAAAAAAGTGAAAATAAAGTTGATAATGGAACAGTATAATAAAAATGAGTTTAAAGTAGAAAGAGAATATGGCTACCCTACTCGTCAATCCACTAGAAAAGGAAAATATGTAGTACCTAAAATTAAAAATTACTTCGGTATGCGCACGAGACGATGGGTTATCCCGCAATTATATAACGAGCTGCCGCCGGACTTGCTTAGTAAAGTTATCTCAAAAAATCATTTAAAAAATATCCTAAGAAAACATTATCTATCATTGTGTCCATAAAGGTACGCCACAGGCCACGAGTAACGTACTGTTAAAATTAGCAGTCTATATGCGATGTGTGCTGTTTGAGTATGTGTTGAATTAGTGTATATGTATGTGTATATACAGTATGTATATAAAAAAAAAAAATTAACCAATTTTGATATTTGGCTGATGTGGACCTCATAACAAACTTTGTACTAAATATGTATAGATAAAATAATAAAATAGATTTTGGGAGATATTAGTATATGTATAAGAAATTATACTTCAGATTATATGTATAAACATGTAAGACGAGAACTACTGCCGACAAACTGTAATGCAGTTTGGCAGATAAAAATGTTAAAAACGTTTATTGTATAATTGGAAAAAAAAAAAAAAAAAAAAAAGTGCTGCCAACCTAAACGTCAGGGTCATGGTGCTTTTGGCGGAAGACAATATCCCTCCGCTTTCATGGAAGCTTGGCCGTGTGCTACGGCTCATTATGGGAGCTGATGGAATCGCTAGAGTGGCAGATGTCAACACAAGCAGAGGCTGCGTGCGTCGTTCTCTCGTGCGACTTTGTAAGCTTCCGACAGCTGAGGATCTTCAAAGTTGAAGGTGATCTTTCAACGACCGGGAGCATGTTCAGGCTTAATGCCTGAAGTGATTTAAGTGAAATGCGCAAATGAGTGATTGCCTTCAGCTCGTTAGTAGGCACTCATGTGCTTCTCAAAGCAAATTCACAATGTCATCTCACTTGTCAACCAAACGCTGTACGATTAACATTGTTTTGTCTGATGTAACTAATTTTGAAAAGTAAGAGCATTTAATTTGCACCAGTTGATCCTCTAAGATAAAACACATATCATATCATGGTCGACTATATTAAAAGCATTTGAAAAGTCAACTAGCGCCACCACTGTACCTTTCCTTAATTACTAGCTTGCCAGGCAGACGTTGTTCTGCCCATTTTCGACGACCCTTTGTCATGTCCTGTTAAAAATCCATAAATTCGCAAAAAAAAAAAAAATTATGGGTCACTCTTGGGCAAAAAAAAAACTATCCTATCTCTCAAGTTGGGCCAAACTGCACACGGTGTGCAAATTCGATTAAAATCGGTTAATTGGCTTAGGAGTCCATTGCGGACAAACAACGTTATAC